TTTTTGTCTTGGACAGCAAGGGAAGCTGCAGCAAGGATGGGCCCTTCCTCCTTTTTGAGAAGTTGCTCATCTTTCGCTAAAAGGCATTTCGATGCAAGATGCTAAATTGTTATTTAATTAAATAATGCAAGACTGCCGGAGGCGCACCACTGCTTGGTTCTCTGGCTTCGTTAGCTTGTGTGATGTGGATTTCTTCTTGTGGCCTGACCAAGTTCCTACTTGGGGGAAACAGCAGATTTTGAAGAAAAAAGTGAATGGGGCAGTTTGCATCTCTCAGATCTATTGTTCCCGGCTCTCTGCACGCTCAGGAAGGCATCAGTTATATACGAGTCACTTGCGACTTTTCTCTGAATCTGCACAGCCCAAATGTTATGCTGAGCAAATCCTTAGGCTCTGATCTCATGATGAAACTCTAGGAACTGAAGCCTGCTCGTGTCTTACTGTGGCCCTACCTGGGACTATACAGGACATTTTACCAACAACCAAACTAGGAAGGCCACACCCTGAAAATTAACAGTCTAAATTAATGGACTTTATAGATGGGAACCTTTATGGTAGCGACGATTCCTCCTTTTGTTCCAGTTGTATTTGTCGTTCTGCAGCCAGTGCCTGGACTGAACTTGCCCCGTGGACACGGTTGGTGCCTCATCTCTAGCAGAGCAGCCTGTTCCTCACCCATCTGCTGCTGAGGCTGAAGCTCCAGCCTGGGGCTTCAGAGACCTCAGAGCTCTAGTTGGCTCCCTGTGACCACTTATGCCCAGAGCAATGGGCAGGAAATACCTTTAAGCCCTTAGTCCTCAGGCGCTGTAACGACTGCGGGACATCCTTGCTTAAAACTGTCCCGATGAAAACATCCAGGATGACGATGTAGGGCCTTGGCACTGCAGAGATGTTTTAAAATGCTTTCGATACAGTAACCTGCACTTAATGGGAAATGCAATCATCCCTAGCAGACTTGATTTTCGTTCACTTGCAGCAACAGAAGAGCCTGTGTCTCTCTGCTGTGTGATGAGAAGAAGAGTTCAGCAGCACAATGGGAAATACTTTTCTGAGCCAACTTTGTTTAGAAGTAATTAAAAATGAGGCCTTTCTATTCTCTGTTCAGCCTGATGTCCCAGCTTGTCATGTGGCTCGACACATTCTTTCCAGCTCCTTTCATGGCACAAACAAGTTAGGATGTTGCTATTGCGTGTCCCTCTTTTTGAGGGTTTGGGGAGAAGGATGCTGGACGGCTCCTGAGATTGGGTCAGCTCCACTTTCGAGGCACTAAGAGGTAGAGCGCAGGAACATGATGTTAAATCACACATAGGTGTTTCCTGGAACCATCCTGCCCCTCCGCTCGCCCTCCTCTTACCCCTGCTTGTGGGAGATGCTAAAACCAGTAGGTTTTAGAGCACGCTCACACTTCGGAGCAGCCCTTCCTTTGCTGGATGACACTGGGCACGGCGTGGTGTGTGGCACACAGCAGTGAGGCAAGGCTGTAATCTGCTAACAATAAAAGCGAGGTGGCTGGCTGCCACTCAGCGCTGAAAGCTATACAGTCGTGAGGGCTTTCCTTCAGACAGCCACGGCCATGCATTTCCTGGAATAAGGACAAGGCCACACAGCTTCAATCCACCAAAAAACCCCAGCAGTGGGTAAACAAGCCCTGTTGCTGTGTAGTCCTCTCTGGGTGACAAGAGTCAGAG